AAATATTATTTCAGTTTCAAAAAATAGTAAAAAAAACTATTAAATTTAAATAAATGGTCATTTATGGAATAAAATTGGTAAAGTGATTATTTTAATTTTAAAAAAATTATTATTTCAAGAGTATATTTTTTAATATACATATATATATATATATATATATATATATATATATATATATATATATATATATACTAAAAAGGAAAAATCCCTTAAAAGTCTTTGTATATATAGATTACACATATATGTGGGAAGTTATAAATATTATTGTGATTAATTTAATAAAATTATTTTTTTTGTAGATTTTTTTTAAGAGTAAAACCAGGTTCTATTAAACTATTAATTAAAAAATAATTTTTAACTTATTTATTGATATGTTAAAATGTTACTAGTTCATCAAATTTGAGGGGTTAAACTGAATTTTTTAATTCATCAACTTGTATTTTTTAAAATAAAAAAAAAATATTAACCTTTATGTTTTATGTTGTTTAAAAATGTGTAGACGTAATGTATTATAATTTAAATCTTTAAAATTTATAAATTAAATTTTAATCAGTAATTATAATAAAATATTTTAATATATAAATATAATAATTATTTTAATTTATTCAAAATAAAAACATTACTTAGTTAATTAAAAAATTAAAAAACATTGATATAGTTAAATATACTTTTAATATATGTATATGTGTATTACAAAAATACAAAATAAAAAAAAAAAAGAGTTGACGTGACTTTTTTCTCGCTTTGCTAAACACTAAATCCTATTTATGATTGTACTTGCATTTATAATATAGTGAGAATTTAACTATCTTCTAAATTAATTATTATCAATGTTCTAACTGACAACATAAAAGATAAACCATGACACACAATTTAATTAATAGATAAATATATAAGATATAATCCACTGGTGAAAAATTACATACGTGGATATTAAATTTGGTTGGATCAACATATCAAATACAATCCGTAATAAATGATTTTTTATTTCACATGGGATGATATAAAAATTAGGAAAGGAATTACACATGAGTTAATGTCAATTTTTTAACACTACAGAGGATTATCTGTCAATCTATATAAAAGATACAATATTACATACAATTCAAAATCTTAAAATAATAAATTATAAATATTTTATGTTGTTAAACTTTCTTATTTAATGTAAAATTTATAATTAAGTTTCACAACACATTTTATGTTAAACAGTCATATTTTAAAGACAAAATATATAATAACTTAAAATAAAACACAATTAAAATAAAACACACATAACAAATTATGAAACATAGTCAAGTTTGTTCTAAACTTGTTTACTCATATTAATTATTACAATTACTTTGGGGTATTTCATAAAACTAAATATTCTATATTCAACATTAACATGAATGACTAAAATTAAATATATGTAACATAAATTATTTTAATATAATTTATTATGAATATGCATGTTATTTAGTATAATTTATTTCTTTGCTTAAAGTTTCATCAAGGCATTAATTTGAACTCAGGAAATATTTTCACTGGGAAGTATAATCATTTAGTAACAGTGACCTAGTTATAGTAACATACAAATGCCAAAAAAACTAGTAAAGTCATCAAATCACTATACGGATTTCAGTCTCAAATTTATCTTTCCATTTTAATATATTTTTTTTCACTTTTAAGTCTTCTACTTTAATTAAGTAAAAGTATGAAACATGCCATAAAAAGAAAAAAAAATATTTTTTCAAACATGTTTGTAATATTGAACATGGGATTTTCTACCATGCCCAATATCCAATTAGTTTTCAAAGATAATTTCTTATTGCATTTCTATCTCACAACAACCTTGTAAAATCTAGCTACTAATAAATGCACAAAGCACAAAGTTATATTTTGAAATGCAAAACAAATTTTATTTTAGAATAATTTAATTTAAAATACAAATATATTTTAAATTGTAAAATTTGAAATATATTTTTTATATTTTAGATTATAATTCTAAAATACAAAAAAAAGTATATTAACAATTATATATTTTATAATATAAAAATAAAATATATATTTTTATTATACATTTCAAAGAATTAAATTTACATTTTAAATTATACAATTCAAAATACAATAATTTAAAAAAAAACTACAAGTTAAAATTATGGAAGTACGAAAAGAAATGACCTCTTTCAGAATATCCTTTCCTCTCCATATTGTCCACTTGCACCCATTAGAAGGTGAGAAAGGACTAAAATATTTTTAAAAACTTATTATGGATTGAATAATTTAAAAAATAGTATTGATATTGTGTGTCAGTAAACCATGATATATTTTCTTAATACAGATTAGTCAATTCAAAATTAAATTGGGCAATTTGAAACTCTTTCCATTATTAACAGAATTAAATTATCTAAATTTTTATATATGTTGAGTTTATCAACACATACCAGGATAAATATAAATCATATAATCAATTTATCATATTTTGTTTGAGTCTGCATAGAATGAGGAAAGTTTCAAATCATCCAGAACATACAATAATAGCAACTGGTCTTTTTCAAATTTAGGTTGAATAAAGAAATTATAAGAGTGCACAAAAAAAAGGCCATTTTTTTTTTTCAGATTTGTTATTTTCCACCACTTTTTCTAAGGCAGTTTATTTTTGCTCTTTTATAAGTTTTTTTAAGCATTATCATATAAAAAAACCTTTTTATTTTATTTTTCAAAATTATACAATTCAAAAATAAGAAATAATTTTTAAATCTTATAATTCAAAAGTTAAAAGATAATTAAAACGTACAATTTAAAACATTATATATATATATATATATATATATATATATGAAAGTGCAGGAAAAAAAACTGTCTTTTATAAAGTTAATCTTCAGTTTTTTTTTTCCAAAAAAAAAGGGACCTTGGGAAAAACATATAAGGTTGTGATTTATATTTATAACTGTTATCAATAACAATTATTAGAGATTATTACCTTTATAATTACGTTACAACTTTTATTATTCATTATTATCTTTTGATAATATAAATTATTTATTAACTTTGTTGTTTTTAAAAAACTAACTGTAATCGATAATAATTACTTTTAAACATTATATAAGTATAATATCATGTATTTATAATTATTAATAAAGATGATTCTTCATTATAATAATTTGGTGTAAAATTAAAATTATTATTATTTGCAAAGCATATAAAATGTTTAGTTAGAGTTTGCTTTCCATAGAAAAAACCAGTATACAACGTCTAATATTTTGGGTCGAAATCGAGGTTGACGTCACACAACAATAACGTCTAATTTCAATTTTTTTTTTTGTTTTTTAATTGATTGTGATCCTTATTTACAATTCTGCAAGATCTGAAAAACACAATAATAACAAATTTCATTTTTTTTGTATTTTATAAAGCATGAACTATGAACCTCTAGAGTAGTATCAACGACAAACAATAATAATGAACAACAAACAAGTTCAACCAAATAACAACAAACAAGTTCAATCAAACAACAACAAACAAATTCAACAAAAAAACAACAAACAAGTTCAACGATTAAGTTCTTCAAAATGTGCCTATGATGGACATGAATACAGAAATAATCAGTCAAAACAAACGAAAATCATATATAAAATAGTTAATTAACATGCACTTGAATGAATTTTGAATCTCCCCCTCAAATGTTTATTGAATTTCTTAACCTTTTGACGTTCAAAACTGGACATTCGACCTTTTATATCCTTTTACGTAAAATTACAATTTTAAACGACGTCTAATAATTGTATTTTTAAAGTTGGGTATTTAGTAGTATTGCATTTACATTAGTGTTTTGTGATAAAATTATCTGAGTTGAAATTTTGGATATTCCATATTGCTTAAAACTAAGTATAAATAGTATATTTTCTTTTAACTACTTGTCAATTTGGTATGATATAAATTATGTATATAATTCTTTAATTGAAAATATTCATTGTTAGACAAGGGTAATTGTATTAATATTTACAATGATAGTTAGTTTTCTCCCATTTACAAATGATATTTTTAATTTGTGTGGTAATTCATTTAATTTTAACTAAAATGTTTATATATATATATATATATATATATATATATATTATTAAAAGGATAAAGTACAGATCATGAAAATTAGCCTCTAATCATATATATTAAATCAATTATATGTAAAATTGTTCATCTTAAAAATATAAAATTTAGATGACATCTTATAAAACAGTATATACGACTCTAAAATTTAGATATTAACCCAATTCAGCTTACACAACTAACTCAAACTAAAGTAATAATTTCCACCGACTTAAATTATTATAACTAACTTGTACCTTTTAAGTAGAAAATTGTTATTTTAAGTAGAAAAGAGAGCCGTGTCTAAAAAATCAGCCTTGAACACAATCTTATAAAATCCCATACAACTCCAAGTTTTAGATTTTCTTTACTTGTTTTCACCACCACGTTCTTATTACTAAACACCTTTTTTAAAGAAAATTAGTCTTTTTGACCGTTGATTCCTTTTATCTTTACATGTAATCTTGCAGTCTCGGCAACTGAGGCAGTAGTCGTAGAAAGTCAGAAGTAGTTGCAGAGTTGAATACTCGAAGAAAGAAGTACACGTTTTTTCTTTTTCTTTTCTTCGGATTCGCACTTTCACACTCAAACATGTTACATTGACACTTCTTTTTACCATGATGTCGTTGTTGTATAAGCAATTACAAATTTGATACTGAGAAGAAGTTTTTAAAGGAGAGGAAACGTTGCAGCAGGTACTGAGTCCCCTTCAAAGGTAGCTAGCTACTTTTATCGTAAGTTGCCAATATCCCAAAGGGGTTACTTAGAAACCAAAGCTTAAATCATCAAGTAAAAGCGACTTCCAGTTTGTAATTAGATATTGGGTCGCTACACCTTCTCTCTCACCTTAAGTCCAACCACCACAGCATCCTTATTTGCTTCACCCCAAAACATCATTCACAACTCAAACAACACATACTTGGAATTAACTATTCTAGAATACCAACTGCATAAATCGAGCAAAACCAAATTCAACACAACATAAACAACTACCACTTCCCTCTCGTTAACATTGTTTTCAATTGTAGAACACAACCTGAATCCAAGGATATGGTCATTGTAGGGTCACTCTCAATAATATTATCCCTTCTCATTGCTTACACTCTCCCTTCTTCTAATTTAAATCAAACCTTCTCCTCCAATTCTCCCCCAGAGCTCAGAATCTGCAGCTCTAAAATTTTCATTCAAAATTAACCCCTCCGACATGAAGAACACTAACACCAACACAAAATTCATTCTTCTCCACCCATATATCCAGAAACAAGGAAGCTCCAACCGCCTATGGCTTCTGGCCTTCATCTCCTTCTTCACCCTGGCCTTCCTCGCCACCCTCATTTACACCAGAGACACAACCTCATCCATCACCACCACCACCTCTTCCACCCCTTTATCTACTTTCACCAACACCCCTTTGCCTTCCTCCGTCATCAACACCCTCCTCCACTATGCCTCCAAATCCAATGACACCTACCACATGTCCCACTCGGATCTCAAAACCATCTCCGACGTCCTCCGAAAGTGCTCCTCACCGTGCAACTTCCTCGTCTTTGGCCTCACCCCAGAGACCCTCCTCTGGAAAGCCCTCAACCACAACGGAAGAACGGTTTTCATCGATGAAAACCGGTACTACGCCGCGTACTTCGAAGAAAAGCACCCCGAAATCGATGCCTACGACGTGCAATACACGACCAGAAGGAGCGAGATGAAGGAGCTGATAGCTTCCGCGAAAGAACAGTCGGGAAACGAGTGCAGGCCGGTGCAGAATCTTCTGTTTTCTGAGTGCAAGTTAGGACTCAACGATCTTCCCAACCACGTTTATGAAGTGGATTGGGATGTGATATTGGTGGACGGACCGAGAGGTGACTGGCCCGACGCCCCCGGAAGAATGTCGCCGATCTTCACCGCCGGCGTACTTGCCCGGAGCAAGAAGAGTGGGAACCCGAAGACGCATGTGTTTGTGCATGACTTCTCAGGGAAAGTGGAAAGGGTCTGCGGGAACGAGTTTCTGTGTAAGGAAAATTTGGTGGAGACAACGCACTCTTTGGGACACTATATTCTGGAAAAAATGGAGGAGAGTAGCGTGAAGTATTGTAAGGATCATAACCACTCATCAGGGTCTTCTTCTTCGTCTTAATTAGTTGGTGTAATCTTCCACGTTACAATAAACTTTGTGCAGAAGTATATCATATCAGAGTCAGCCATGTCGATATTTATGATCGTTTTAGTTCCATCGTTTACTTCTTCTTCGCTGGAGCTTGTAAAAGATAATTCTTTCTTTCTTTTTCTTGTAACTGCTTCAAAGAATTCCTACTTCTAAATGTCACCGAGGATTTGTTGATATTACTGTGTAGATTGTAAAAAGATAATTCATGCTTCAAGGAACACAGATATCTTAACTCTGTTTCAATCTGATAGGACGAAGAATTGAACGTAAAGAACAGAGATTAATCATTTTTATTTATTTTGCTGGTTTTTTTAAAGATTTTTCAATTTATTTAAGTTTTTTAACATTATTTTTGTATCAGGGGGTAAATGAACTAAATAAATAAAAGTAACAATAACTGGATAATCTTTCGTTATCTCATTTTCTCTATAAATTTGATATTTGAAATAATTTATAATTTATGGCGTCATAATTTTGTAACTTGCAGAATTTGTACATTTTACTAATAATTTTTTTGTTTCATAATTCATTTTTAACTTTTTTAACACTATTTTGTATCATGTTGGCGAATGAACTAAAGAAAGGAAAATTGTAACTGCTAGGAAATCTTTGAAGACACGTTATCTTTTCTACTTTATTTTAAATGTAAATTTGCTACTTGAAGTAATTTAAAATGTATTTACACTTAATTTAAAATGTAATTACTCTTAATTTCGTAAAATGTATTGGAGATTTTTTTTTTCTAAATTTTATAGTGATCTTTTATATGGTATTTAGATTAACTAATTCAAGAATTTGGTATATGCGCTTGTAAAAGATGAATTTCATTATTTTTCTAAATCTTGTATAATGATGCAATTGTCGGAATAACTAATATCCACATTTCCAAGTTTAATAATGTCTTGCCTGATAGTATTTATGACCAATGTAATGTAATTTAATATATATTTTTCATAAAACATGCTACTCAATATTTACTCGCTTTATTTTTTAAGAAATTATAATTTTTATATATTTAACGCAATTATGTTAAAAAATTAAATTAAAATCACTTATTAAACTGAAATAAAACGATTCCAAGTAATCCATGCGTTATATGGTTAGAATCACATAATGTCACATACATAGTAAAAAAGAAAAGAAGAAGAATTGACCTAGTAGTCTGACCGATTGAAACGTAGTAGTTGAACCACCTAATTTTTTATGTTAATTAATAATAATTAAGAAATGCTGACATGTTAAAATAAGAAAAAGAAAAAAGAAATCAAGCCTCCTATTCTATAAAAGTTAGCCAAAGAATCTAAATATATTGTATTTTTAACCTACATTTAATTTGAAACTAAATTTTACTATTAAAATTAGAATAACTAAATTGGTAAAATAGACTGACAACAATAATAAATCATTTTAACCTTTAAGAGATCTAAACAAAGAAAAAAAAATCTATGATGAAAACTCTAAACATAAGAATTTAATAAAATTCCAATGTTTAATAATATAATAAAATAAAAAGCGTAGCAGGAAGTGACCTTACTCCCGTTTAGTTCCTAAGACGGATGAAACATGTCATGATACGCCAATGATATAGTATTAACAAATGATTCAAATTAATTTATTTGGTAAAAAACATTCTAAAAATATTTACAAATGTTTTTGAAATTAATCAATAAATTTGCATTTATGTAATATTTTTTTATTATTTAGCATGTTAAATAATTTGGTCAAAATAAAATAATATGTTGATCGCTATAAAATAAATTAATATGAGAAAACTATATTGATATCTCCTCCCTAAAAACAATTTTGTGAAAAAACTTAAAAAATGTTTCCGTTAAACATGAATACTTTTATAATGTTAATTTTATAACAAAAAAACATATTTAAGAAAATCACATCCCAATTTAAAACTCACGAAAAACTAAAAAGGTTTTCTTTTTTGCTATGTGTTTTCCACTAGGGCTGGAAGAAAGTGGGAAGAAAAACAATAGAAAGAAAATGGTGAAACGAAATGGACGAATAAGCAAAAGAGGGCTTGTACGTTGAAGAAAGAGCAAACGTTAAGGCAAAGGGAATGGAAAAGCAAACAACTACACAAATTTAAAACAAGGTAGGACCCTTATCAACTGAATCAATTCCACACCCACCCATTTTGACTTTGGCGTAGCTTTTCCATTCAGAATATCAAGTAATTCTACCTTAATTCTATAAAACTCGCTTAGAAGGTGAGACCCAAAACAGAACAGGTGCATTACCAAGTAGAAGCCAGAACAGGTATCTTCTGATTTCTTAATGCGAAACATGAATTTAATGTTTTAAACATTAAACCAAACAGACATTAAAGACGTTAGACGAATGTACTACTAACGTTGCAACAAGACTTTATGCTAGAAGCCAAAGGGTTCAAACAAAAAATGCATTGAAACTCTCTTTCTTCACCTCACCTTCCCAGTTCCATTCACTATAATTTGCCGTTCTAACTGGCAATTGCCAAGTGCCAACCATTCTCTTCTTTTAGTCAACCTTCTTTAGCAATTAACACCACATGTCCCTCCTCATCCCATCCCTTCTTTGACCCCGTCTTTTTCATCCATTAATGTTGAGAGAGATCATCAGCATCCAAGATCACAACCACATGTAAAGCAATCAACCAGAAACGAAAAGGAAAAGGAAAAGGAAAAGGAACAATACCAACCCCACTTCCTCCTTTATTTTTTTTTCTCTTTAGATTTGAATCAGATTAAATTAAACCCGTTACCAAATACGCCATCTTCACCCTTTTTTAAAAGAAAAACATGTAAACAGTGGCAATGGATGGATTCAGTGTCGGTCGGTCGGTCGGTCCAAGTTTTGAAGAGAGCAGAAAAGGAAAAGAAATACAGAACATGTGAACATGGAAGGAAAACCCACCCATCAATTAATTAATCTCCTTCGAGAGTAAAATTTTCAAGTGTACAAGCCATGAATGGCATGATCAGAATATGCTCTGTGATGGGAAATCGGTGATTAATTAATCAGCTAAGACGATTCTAGGATAAGATTAGTAGTAGCTTCGACTGCAGAGAGTGTGTGATTGTGTTCACCTTCGTAGGTTACTACCAACATAGAAGGGTCATCCAGAGCCCTCTCTACGTGCTTGCGCGCTGGACACCCTCTAACACTGCTGCACTTGTAATAGCCCCTGCAATTAATAATTCAAGACAAACATAAACCTCACTTCACCTGTGCAAAATTAACTCCACAATAAAAGATGGAAATGACAGAAACCAAGCCATGATAAGATCTTTCTAAATTTAGTCACACGGGAAAGAGAAAAAGGGAAACAAATCAATTTAACAGAACAAGGGTACATTTTGAAATTTGAAATCGAATGGTGAAAGAGCAAATTAAAGTGGGAATTGAAGGGGTGGATAATTTAAATCAGAACACGATGTAATGTTGTTTTATGCACCTTGGATGAGGAGATCCTTTAATCGGTTTCTGTCCGTATTTCCTCCAAGAATAATCATCCGGTGGAATATCAGCCATCTTCAAACTTATTGCGGGTACCCTCACCACCCTCTTCATCCTCATTTTTCTACTGCATCACACCAATCCAAAAAATAATGCATCAGAACCAGACATCACGGAAACAGTTTCTTTTTTCAAACGATTTTTTAGGATAAAAATAAGACAGAGCGTGACATATATCTACCTCTTCTTCGAGCAATGGCATCGGCTGGAGGAACTGCCACACTTGGCAGAACCCAAATTATCAGAGCTGCACTTCCTCTTCAACGAAGACGAAGAAATAGGAGGCTTTCCGGCGGAGGAGACCTGAGAGAGATTCGTGATCTGAAAAGGCGTTGCGGCCGCAGGCGACGAGGAAGAGGGCTGTTTGGTGTCGGTGTCGCCGGTGAGGGAGGAGACGAAGGAATTAGAATAAGAGAAGTTGATGGTCTTGGAAGAGTCCTTTGTCTCAATCGGACCATTTTTTGGGATGAAAGGGTGTTCGGTGGGCGGCGGGATCTGCTGCAGCGGTGTTGCGCGGTAGAATCTGGGTTCGGAAGGAGGTGGAGGAGGCACAGGGGCTCTTCTGAAACGCGCGTGACCGGTTCTGGTTCGGCCCAGAAGCGAAATGACCTTCTTGAACTTGGAAACCGCCACGTCAGCGACAGCTCCGTAATCGGATTCAATTTCCATGGAAGACTTTGAATTGGTCGCGTGCGATTGTTGTTGAAGTTGTTGGTGTTGTTGTTGCAGCTGAGCGTGTGACAGCAACCTGATGAGCTTCTCCACGCTCTCTAGCCCTGACGCGGCTTCTCGAACCGCATTCTCTTCGGCGAAACTGTCGTTCCTATAACCCATCATGAGCTCCACAGGCATAGTTGCATCAAAGAGAGAGAAAGGGTTTGGAAGACAAAAGAAAATAAAAGAGGCTCATAGGGTACCCTGGTCAAGTCATGCCAAAACCAAATTTAAATATTAAATATAAAATATAAATTAAAAGAAAAAACGATAGTGGCCTGTTTGGTCCACTAGGTCACTGTACTGTCACGCTAGCTAGCTAACCCTACTCGTCTCGTCCCTGTTTCCGTCAAAATTTGGGTGACATTGCTTTGCTTTACTTGCCTCTGTTTAACGTACTAAAATATGTATCCATGTATGTAAGATCCAAACGCTGAAACAGGGTATTTTGGTCTCTGCGGACTCCGAAAAGAAAAAAGAAAATACTTTTTTTTTCTTTTTTTTTTTAATTTTCTTTTTTCAATGGGAAAAAGCATCTGAAGGAAGTGAGTAGTGGGGAGACAGGGAGATATTGACTTTTTTGGCCCCTGGGTCCCACCGGTGGGTTATCATTGATCTCAGCGACATTGGGGCTTTAAAATCAGGTCAAAGGCATTGTTTTAGCCGTCTGATCTTTGAGAAAAGTTTGAGATCCGTTGGTTGCCAGCATAGGTTGTAGTTGACTTGGATTGACGACCTTCCTTTCTCTGGATTCTTAATGCTTTCTTTTGTCGTCTTTGTTGTTTTTCTTTTGAATATTTTTTCCCTCATTTTGTCCCTCTCTGCTTTCTCTCCGCCTCTATCTTCTACGTTTTTTAAATGTCTTTTTCTTCTACCGGTGTTTGTCAGTTTT